TGGGAGGGAAGGCATTCTTTCCTGGATGTTGCCACCCCATGGTTTTCCTCCTCCTCCTCCTCTTCTCCATACAGGGAGGGTTTGGAGACTGTCTCACCTTGCAGCTCTCGTGTACCATTCCCAGCTTGGTCTATGAAAATCAGGTTTGGGGGCTGAGTGTGTAACACCAGGGTGTTGCTAGTCATGATTTACACACCCACCAACTCCCACACAGGTCAGAGGTACTGGAGCACACCTGGCCTTGTGCAAAAAGTGATCACCAGGTGAATAAATGCAAGAAATACACTCCAAACCCCCCAAAAGTGCAACTTCAAGTCGGGCAGTGGCTCTACAAAACATGGGGGGAGTATTTCAGGCAGCGCACTACAGCCTCTGAGGACCAGTTTCCATTATTAGCTCACCCAGAGCTGAACTAGGGGCAACATCAGCAGCCAAAGAGAATTAAACCAGAGCAAAAGCAGGTCCTGCCTTTTCCCTTCTAGCTGTAGGGTCTGCAGGCAGCCAGGTGTTGCAAGAAGTGGGCGGTGCTGGAGAAGTGCATGAAACAGAAGCAGCCAACCGAGTGAGCAAGGCCACAACGTTGGCAGAGGGGCTGCACATCTTCCCCAGCCCTGCTGGGGCTGCCCAGCTGTCAGTTCTGTGCAGGTCCCCACTGCTCACTGCTGGAAGGGGACCAGCAGCACTCAGCTCCCAGTAGCCACAGCCACAGCCAGATCCCTCCTCCAGCATCACCTGAACCCTGCCCAGCCAAGCAGATGCAGAAAGCCCCAGGAGCAGGCAGGGCTGGCCCCAGGAGCAGGCACACAGGAGATCCAGGGAGAAGATGGCTACAAGCCACCTGCCTTGGGACAGGAGTCACTGGGCCAGCACCATCCAGGTGTCGCAGACATCTTTTCATTTAAAATCCTTTCTTTAGGATTTTTCCTCCTGAGGAGCTGAGAAGCCTCAGGAACAAAATGTAAACATTGATTATCTGCTGCTGTGGAATGCAACAGGTGCATCTGTGATTGGTCTCATGTTGGATGTTTGTAATCAATCACAGCCCAGTTAGCTTGGACTCTCTGTCTGATCCACAAACCTTTATTATTCTTGCCTTTCTATTCTTAGCTTAGCTAGCCTTCTGAGGCTAGAAAGAATACTTTTCCTTCTATTCTTTTTAGTATAGTTTTAATGTAATGTACATTATAAAATAATAAATCAAGCCTTCTGAACATGGAGTCAACATTCTCTTCTCTTCCCTCACCTGAAAACCCCTGTGAACACCATCACAATCCAGGTGCCTCAAATGCCCAAAGCCAGCTTGGCACAGAAGAAAAAGCCTTGTCCGGCAGCAGAGATGTCCCTGGATGCCACTCCCCATGCAAGGGGCACACCTCCCTGTCCTGCTGCCACCCCCAGAGCCCTCAGGGGCACCAGCAGCCCACAGGCTGTCAGATAGCTCTGGGGTGATCAAATCCTCTCCTTTCACCCCTGAAATCCACCAGACCAAGCCTGACTCGGGTAGAGTTGATTGCACAGAGGGCACAGGAAGAGAGGAGGAGAGAGAAATGGAGTGGCAGCCTTGCTTAGAGAGAGGTTGGTCTTTGTCACTCATGCTGATAAACACCTGGGGATTTATCAGGGCTTCTCTACCACAATGTACTTTGCTATATTCCCTGAGAGAGGATACACACACTGCATCCCACTGCCATCAGCAGCAGCTCTGGGGAGCCCCCTCCTCTTCTTCCCCCTGCTCCCTGTGCCCCAAGAGGCACCAAGGGCCTCCCATGGGACAGCAGAGAGCTGGGAGAGGGACACAGAGGGGAGGAGCAGAGGAACCAGGCAGCAAAGAGAGCATCTCAGGAAGCTCAGGTGAGATGGCAAAGGCAGTCCCACCAAAGGGCTCGGTCCAGACAAAAGGTCCTTGGGGAAAGGTCAGTGTTGGTGGCACTCAGTTGGATTCACACTGTTGGTGTCTCGTGATGGTGGTCACAGGGGGTTTCAGGTGAGGGAAGAGATGAGAATCTGACTCCATGTTTCAGAAGGCTTGATTTATTATTTTATTATATATATTACAGTAAAACTTTACTAAAATAATAGAAGAAATGGTTTTCTTCAGAAGGCTAGCTAAGCTAAGAATAGAAAAGAATGAATAACAAAGGTTTGTGTCTTGGACAGGGAGCCGAGATAGCTGGGCTGTTATTGGCCATTAATTATAAACATCCAAGATGGGCTAATCAAAAATCTACCTGTTGCATTCCACAGCAGCAGATAATCATGGTTTATATTTTGTCCCTGAGGCCTCTCAGCTTCTCAGGAGGAAAAAATCCTAAGGAAAGGATTTTCATAAAGAGATGTCTGCGACATTGTCTGAGAGTCATGTCAGGTCTACAGGATGTGCCCCTGAATCACTCAACCAATCAGGGAGCCAAGCTGAACATAAACCAGCTCAAACTTTTACAGTTTGAGATGTATTTTTTTATTCTCAATCCAGCAGTGCTGTTGTTTGCCTCAGCAGAAACTGGAGCAGCTGCTACAGAACCCAAAACTCTATTATTTTATGAAGCCCCCTCCACAGAGCATTGCAGAGGCAGCAGCTCAGAATTAATAAATGCTTTGACACATTTGGCCTGTGCACCAGAACTAAGCTTGTCCATGGTGGGGGAGACCTGCTGCTAACTCAGGAAGCTCATGAGATGTGATGCATGGTGGCAGAGAGAAAATGGCCTTGCACCAGTCATTCCCAGAGCCTGGCTAGCTTATTAATCCCAGAGCAAAGGGAAAATTGTCTGAGCTTGATCTGAGGCTATGAGAGCCTTCATGGGGAAAGCAGTGACTGGATGGAGCTTTCTTTGGTGTATCAATGATGGGGATTTCTGCTGTATTATGAAGATTAGGTTTGTCCAGGGCTGGGGAAGCTCCAGCCATGCCAAGCTGCTGTCGTCCTGCAGCAGCTCACACAAGGATAACCACAGCAGTGAGTTACTGCCAGCTGCTGTGGGATTTGTTCCTTGGGGTGTCCAAAGCCTCACTCCTATGCTTTGCAAGGCTTGGGGAGGCACAGCTCTTGGACAACACCCCTGTAGAGAGGTCTATAGTATGAATGAGGAATCCAAGGGCTGGGACCAAATCCAGGAGGTTGCATCAACCCTCAGGTCCCCAGTGACTGCAGGTAGAGCTGGGTTGCTCCATGACTTGTTTCCCCTGCAGAGGACATTGGTTTGCTAGGGGCACTTTCAGATGAGCAAGGGGTGTCTCACCCACAGAGGCCACGTGGAGAGTCATGGTGTCTCTGCCCTGCCAGACACAGGGCGGAGGAGTCTGTGGTGTGCTGTGTGTTAATTCCTTTTTCCAAAAACCCAGCAGTCATCTGGAGAAACAGGACAGAGCCCTGCTCAAACTGCAGCCTGCAGACCTTGAGAGAGAGACTACCCTTCCAGACTGCTAAGAGTGAGTGTGTCCAGCAGCCACCTCGAGGCTTCCTGCCCCATTTTGGTTACCATATCCATCACTTCCAAAATATCACAGGCAGCAGCCTGGGATTGTTTACAAACAGTGGATTGAGGTCAGCGTCAATCAGAAGAGAAATCCAACCCAGCCAGCTGGGGGCCAGCTCTTAGAATTTTACTTCTCTCAGAGGGGAAGCCTGAGCAGCCCAGGTTGGAGGTGGCCTCCTGCTTCATCTAACCAGCACTGTGGTGTGGCACTATCCCAGCACAGCATCTCAAATTCCAGCAACACTTTTACAATGAGCAGGCTGTGTATTCTCTGTATTTAAACACCTCTTTTAACAAAAAAAATGCCTTTTCACTTAAAAAAGCATCTTCTTGGTCAGTGCTTTTCACAGGTTTTGAAAATCTCCTTGGGTTTTTCTCAGGAGGAAAAGAAAAAATTGAAGCGTTTTTGTAATGTTGGGGTTTTCCCTCTTTTCCTCCGCTCTTTTAAGTTCTCCTTTTCCTCCTCTCGGCGAAAAACTGGAAAATGAATCATGTCCCCGTGTGGGAGCTTTAACAAAACGTTTCATTTTTATCCCCCTTCCTTTTCTGCTGTCAGCCCTCCTCTCCCTGCAACCTCCCCGAGCCGGCAGCGTCGCAATCTGTCACGCGGACAGCCCAAGCTGCATCTCACCCCACTGTCTGCTGAGAGGGTCAGGAGGGGCAGATCACTTAACACTACACCTGTTTTATGAATAATAATACAGACAGTTTCCCTGGGTTCCTGGGAGGACGTTTTCCCACCAGGATAAGCGCTGCATATTGAACAAATTAATGTCTTTAACTCGTTTGACTCTGGTTAGCTCGGCTGCAATGGGGAGCTCCAGCAGGAGAAAGAGCAGGAAAGAGCAGGCAAGCCTTTGAGGGTGGTTTGTTAGAGGGTCTTGTTCTTTCCTTCCCTGCAAGTTTCACTCGTGGAAGTGGGAGATTATAAATTTTGGGGTTGGTGAGGTTGTTTTCAGAGGAGAAATATGGAGGGGAAAAAAAAAGAATGGGACCCGTGAAGCTTCAGGAAAATCAGGAAAATGGAAAGTTTTCCACGAGCACACAAGGTCTGTGTCACTTCAAAATGCTCCACCTGGATCAAAATGAAACACTTTTGTTCTTCTGTCAGTGGCTAGACTAGCTCAGAAAAGAAAACACCAAACTAACCAACCAACCAACCAACACCAGACAACCACCCTCTCACACATTAAAAACTTACTTTAAATATTACTTTAGAACTTCAAACAATTCCAAGAGTTTCTCTTTAAGATGGTGGAATGAAATGCTTTGATTCACAGCAGCAAGTTTCTCTTGGTCATTCCTTGGCAGGAACAAGAAGGAGCAATACCCGTCTTCTCTCAGCCAGAGGACCGTGTCCATCAGCACAAGCAGAGATATCCCAAGGGACATTCCTGCCCTGATTTGGGCAGCCCAAAAGTGTCAGGAGGAACCCTCAGCCCCACCCCAAGCTGGACCTGTGACCACAGCAAAAGAAGACACCGCTCTTCCACTCCAATCAGTGCCTCACTCGTAATATTTTATTTGTTTTGTTGACTTTTATTGAGAATGAAAAAATAATTTAAAGCAATTATCTGTACAGGGGGGCAGGGGGGTGGTTAGCTGGGTAGAGGATCAGTGACCCCCCCAGACAGGCCAGGGAGGGCTTGAGGGGGTGATTTACAGCTGTCCAAAACCACGACAATCCCACCGAGGAGGAGCGGAGGGCCAAGGACATCTCTGGAGCTGGCTCAGAGCACAGGGGCAGGAGGCTCTGCAGGGGCACAGGGGGCCAGGCTCTGGCCAGACAGACCCTCAAGTGACCTGCAGGGGTGTCTCCAGCATCTCCATGAGGAAGGTGTCGATGGGGGTGTCTCCAATCAGCTTGAAGAAGAAGAGGTGCTCCAGGCACTTCAGCCCGATGGAGCGCAGTGCCGGCAGGCGCAGGAGCAGCTTGGCAAACCTGGGAAAGAGCAGAGTCAGAGGCACAAGGGAGGCACTTCCTGCCCTCTCCCACCCATTTCCAAGCCTGCACCAGCCCAGATTCTCCCCAAAAAATGCTTTTGGGGCATTCTCAGACTTAGATTTCCTTAAGTTTTCAATATAAGCATTTGTCGCCTCGTGTGGAGGGAATATGTACCTTTCCAAAACAGAATGTGGCATTTTTAAAACTTAAACAAAAAAGAAGATACATCCAGATTTGAACATCTTAACATGACCTATAACTCCATGGTATCATTTAAATCTATCTTCAAAAACTCCCCAGGCTATCAGAGTGTGTGCAGCCCCCCAGCTGCCAGCCACTGCCTCTGGTTTGGAGGCACGGCTGGAAGGGGGTGTAGCTGGCAGCCTGGTCCCTGTTCCCCCTGCCCAGAGCCCACTGGCAGTGTCTGTGGTGACAGCCAGAGCCCACTGGCAGTGTCTGTGGTGACAGCCAGAGCAAAAACCAGCAGAGGATTCCGCGGGCACCGACCCAGCTGCCGGCGCTTCAAGAGCTTGGCCAGCAGAGGGTAGGATTGGATTAGAAAGCAACAAAATTCCAGCTCCACAGCACCCTCAAGGCTGGGGATTTGGGCACTGTGGTTCAGGCAGAGCCAACACAGGCAGGCTCCTCTCTGCAGGGTGGGAATCACGCTGCCCTGCCGGGGGCACTCACCGCCCTGGCTGCTCGGGGTACTTCTGCTTCGTGTAGGCTTCCAGCGTGGCATAGACCTTCTCCCGCAGGGATTCCACTTCTGAGGGGCTGGACAAACCCTTGGCATCTGGTCAGGGGAGGAAATACAGCTGGGGAAAAGGTCTCTGCAGAGGGGGTCTTTGCACTGTGTGCACAGGCAGGAGAGGAATGGGACAAATCTTGGGTCTGCTGGGAGCTGTCCCTGCCCATTGCAGCAGGGGTGGAATGATGTGGTCCTTGAGGAACCTTCCAACCCAAAGCATGAAATCTGTCTGCAGCCTTGATGCTCAGTGTCACAGCGACCTGCTGTGGCCCAGAGGGAGTGCTTGTCACCTGGGACTGTCCCCAGCCTCGGGCTTACCTGGGTTAAACAGGACAATGGCTCGCAGGCACCCCAGCTCCGACTTATCCATCTGCATGTCTTTCATTTTGGACACCAGCTCTGTCAAAACCCTGCATGTGGGGGACATGGGTGAGCAGGCAGTTAGAGACCAGTTTCTCCACTGAAAAAAAGGCACTGGGAATACCCTCAATTCTTCTCTGCAGGAAGAGAGGCATCTTTGAGGCACAGCCATGCCCCACATTGCTGTTCTACAAGTGCATCAGCAACATCCTGAGCATCAAATTTGCTCCTGTTCTCACTTTGTTCAGCACACAGCACTCCCAATTTGCACTCTCTCAAGGAAAACCACATGGGTTTTCTCCACTTTTTACTGTGTGGTGCAAAACATGGGCACTGTCCTTACATGTGCCAGGTGTGAAGGAGTGGTGAGGCAGTGTCCTGCCAGGCAGGGAGCAGGCACGGCAAGGACAATATCCATGCACTTTTACACAAGCAAGTTGGGGTTTGAGGCTTTGCCATCTAAAGCTCTTGGTGAGCAATATTAGGCCTAGATACAACCACAGCAAACTCTCTAGACATAAGCATTCCTCCCCCTGCACACCCAACCCAACATCTGCTTCTGCAGCTGCAAATCCCTTCCCACTGTGCTTTCACCCCATTCTTGTTTTTTTAAGTCAGTCAAACATCCCCTGCTCATTCCAAGCCACTCCTGCCCCAAACCACACAGGCTTTGCTCCAGTTCCCTTTAAGGACATGTTTCCCACTCAGAGGGGAAGGCAGAGCCAGCCTGGCCAGCCCTGCTGGGGGGTGGCAGCCACGTACCTGTCAAAGATGGAGCCCACGCCGGCGCTGTGGGCGCTGCTGCGGTGCACGTGCAGGCCCGTGGCCAGCAGGATCCCATCCTGCACCGACACAGAGCGATGGGAGAAGGAGGCAATGAGCAGCTCATTCCAGCCTGCAAGCACAGGAGGGCAGGACACGTCAGGCAGTCTGGCCAAAAAGCAGTTCCAGACAGAGCAGCAGAGCTGGTTTCTACCTGCTGGCTTTGGACTGAACTCAGGGGAGAGTTGGCACCCCAGGTACCAGTGCATCCCTTGCAAGAGGTGGGAAATCCCTTGGAAATATCTGGGAAATGCTCTCAGGCACATGGTGTGATACTTGGGGTTGTTCTGGGCAGGGACAGGAGTTGGACTTTGATGATTCTTGCAAGTTCTTACCAGCTCAGGATATCTTATGATTTGATGACTCTGACTAGCAGTAAGCAAGGAGCAGAAACTGGCTCAAAGGGAATGAGCAGAAACTGGCTCAAAGGGAAAACAATTAAAATTACAAAAAAGAAAAGAGGAAAAATAATTTTTTGTTTTCTTCCTAAAAAAAACACATTCCTAGCAACTCCAATCTCTTTACAAACAACAGATTTACTGCCCCATCCACAGCCTCTGCCAACCCCTCATCGTGTCTCAGAATGGGACATGGAGGAATGGATTGGCTCAGGATTGCATATTCACCACCCAGCCTGGCTGGCTCTCCCACAGCCCAGAGAAGGGACAGGGACAACAGGGACAGCACAGGTGGGGGACATTACCTGCCCGGAGGAGAATGACTTGGTCTTCCAGCGTCAGGTCGGAGAAGTGGGGGATGCGCTTGGCCCACTCGACCAGAGTGAAGAGCTGCTTGTCAGCAGCGTGGCAGATGTTGGTGACAGGGTCATTTGTCTAACAGAGAGGGGTACCAAAAGGAAAAGAGCAGAGGAAAAGAGGAGAATTCATCAGTGGAAAGTCTTTGATAATCGCAATTGAGTTAATGATACTCAATGCCACAAGGACAACATCCAAACTGCCAATAATCTCAGGTGGGTGCTGTTGGGGAGAGCAGGAATTTTTTACCACTGTCCCCTCTGCAGCCAGCCAAGTCAGCTTGATGCCTTGGAGTGGTGACCTAGAACAGAGGCTAGACCAGATTAAGAGGCTAAAAACAGGTATTTATTGAAGGTCTTCAATTGGAACACCTTGGGCAGTCAAAAGAGGGGCTACACCCAAGATGGACAACGCTAAGTTTTTCAGACAATTATAAGTTTGGTCCATTCACATATCAGGGGTTAATCCTCCAATTACAGCTTCAGGTAATGAAGTCATATTCCCCCAGTTTGCTCCCCCCAATTCACTTTTATTTGTACTTTTTGGGGCCTGAGGCTGTAGGGTGTCCTTGAGTTTCAGGCCCAGAGGGATTGTTTGTCTCACCAAAATGTGAAGACAGCAGCTGACCCTCTATATGGAGTTTAGAGTTATACACCAGAGTAGTACAAGATTTGAAAAATATAAAAGCTAAATGCCTTAGGGCATCAAGCTGGTTGCTAGACTTTTCTGTTTGCTTGTTACCCTTTGCAAAGCAAGTCCCTCATGGCTGGCTCCAGTCCTGCTCCCCAGGGCATATCCAAAAGCCAGGGAGCAGCCCCTGAACAGGCATGAGCACCAGTTCCATCCAAACCAGCAAAACCACAGCAGTAAACCTGCTGTGTTCAGCTCCACCCCAGTCAGGGGCAGACAAAGAAGTGTTCAGGGCTATGCACATGTGAAAGCCAGCACAGGGCTCAGGCTCTCCAGCATCTATTTCAGTGAGGAGATTCCTCATGGAAACTAAAAGAGACTGGGGGAAAAAATGCTTGGAAAATAACATATAGTTGTCATTTAGAGTATCTCCAAAAGAGAAACTGTTGGTGATTTTTAGGTGCTGTGGAGCAAAACCCCCTTGTACAATGCTTGCTGTTCACGTGACACTGGTCTGTTCAAATCCCAGCTCCAATCTCTGGCTGCAGGTGCTGCCAGGGGCTCTTACCGAGCTCTCTGTGCCCATGTCACTGTAGGCCTCTGTTTTGGGCTCCACTGCCAGCTCAGCTTCCAGGATCCTCTCCACGGGCATGTCCTCACTGCCACTGCTCGTGGACTCGGCCTCGGTCTCACTGCGCTCCCTGCTCCTCTGCCTCTCCTCCTGCACAGCTGTGGGACACAAACACGGCTCTCTACAGCCACAGCAACGCTCCTCTGCTCACAGGGGGTCCCCACAGGTGGGATGGAAACCCCCTCAAGCAGGAGACAGCAGAAAATAATATCATTCACATGCTCTTAAAAAATTCCTCCACCCAGGGTTTTTCTCCTGGGAAGCTGAAAGGCAGCGAGAGAGGCCTCAGAGAAATGGAAAACAATTCTTATCTCATTTGTTTCTCCTGTGTTTTGCTCATGTGGAATGTGTTTGGAGACTGTTTACCCACAGGTGATTGTTCCATTGGGTTCTGGTGTGGGTTGTTTTCACTCTTTGGCCAATTGAGACCAAGCTGTGTTGGGACTCTGGAAAGAGTCACAAGCTTTCATTATAATCTTTTTAGCATTCTGTAAGTATCCCTTCTGTATTCTTTAGTATGGTACTGTATTCTTTAATATAATATAGTATAATAAAGTAATAAATTAGCCTCCTGAGAACATGGAGTCAGATGAATCATTCTCTCCCCTCATCAGTGAACCTGCATTTTATAATAAATGAGTATTTCAGATGTACACCCATTAAAATGGCTGCTCCCACATCAAAAACTCTGTTGCTGCACACCACTAGCCTCCAAATTTGACCAAAGATTGTGATTTCCAAAGTATGAAGCTCCAGAACAGAGGGAAGATGAGTTGATGCCTCCAGGTGGCAGTCTGGACTCGGCTGTCACTGGGCGCTGGAGGAGGCAGCACTCACAGCACTCCTGCACTCACAGACAGGTTTTTGTGCTCTCAGCATGCTTCCAACAATCCCAGAATGCTTCCAACAATCCCACAGCAGCCAGAGCATCCAGCAGCAGGGCTAGACAGTCCCCAAACCCCAGCTGGATTCACACCTGCTGCTTGTCTCATTCCTGAGCAAAATCCTACCCAGCCTGGCCCAGCCCTGGCATCACCTCTCCCTCCACCACCTCTCTTCCTGATCCTCCCCACGAGAAAATTCCCTCTACATCAGTACCCCAACACCTTCACTCCCTTCTCCCCTCTGTATGTTTTCTAAAGAAGACACAGAAGATGAAATTCTCTCCAAAGCTCAGTTTCTAATTCCCAGGACGTGTGTAAGAGAGGTCAGTGTAGGACCTATGTAATTTGTGCGCAACAAAAGTCCTGGTACTTTTTTTTTTTTTTAAGAAATCCCAAAGGGAAATACAACAATCCTGCTTAAGAAGTGACCAGCAGGCATTATATTTGTCTAGTTCACTGCTGGGGTGAAGTGGCAGCACCCAAGGAGATGGATCAAGGTGGGCATCCAGCCTGGTGCTTGTGAGGGAGGGCAACACAGGACAGAAGTATATGCCAGCCTGCTGGGGGGGAATATTTGTGCAGAAAAAGCCATGCAAGTGTTTCTGAAGTCACCAAAATCTTACTGGAATAAAGAACATGGCAAGGAAATACCAGTTCCATCACTCAGCCCCTGAACTCAAGCTGCACTCTGTCCCCAGTTTCTGCAGCTCCCAAAAAGCCCCTGTGATTGCTGCAGCCAAACTCTCACAGGATCCACCAGGTTCCTGGGGTTTAAATTTTCACTCTCTGCAAAAGGAAGTTGTGCTAACACCCTGGTCCTCTGAACCACTTTGCACCTGGCTGGAAGAGGGAGCTATGCCTGGGATTAAGTTTTTGATTCCAGCCTGGCATTGTGCAGTCCCCTGCTGCCCTGTGAGTTTGAGGCAGCACAGCTTTGGTGATGCTGCAGGACGAGAATCAGCTCATGCCCAGTGTTACAGCTGCTTCCCTGGGCAGCTCTGCTACTTTATCTTAGAAAAAAAGGAGCTTAAATGCTCCTGTGTTGGTTGTCACTTCCTGACCTTGCATCTGTTAGGATAATTTGGGAGACAATCCAGCTCAGCAGGTGAATGGAAATGACAGAGAACTATAAAATGAGAGACAGAAATAAATCATTCACCCTAATCCTCCAGTACAAGAATTAGGTGGTGACAAATGAAGTCAGCAAATTAAAAACAAAAAAATGAAAATTGCTCTTCACAAAGGAGGCAAGAAGTCTTCAAGACCCCTCACTGCTAGGTCCCAGCAGAAGTTTACAGGTTTCCAAGGGGTCCAAGCCACTAAGAGTCACTAACTAGAGGCAAGGTTGGGTCAGGATCAGTTAAAAGTTTCGATACTCACCTATGTGTGTGATTAGGTGAGAAGAAAAATACACTGTAACAGCTTCCCCATCAGTCTCTTCCCTTATTAGCCCTTATTAGGAAAAAAGCCTTCACAGAAGGAAGAATTTTTTGCACCCTGTCCAACACGGGAACAGGCTGCTTAGGGAGGTGGCAGAGTCACCATCCCAGAGGTATCTAAAGGACAGGCATATGTGGCACTTAGGGACAGGGTTCAGTGGTGGAATTTTCATTGCCAGGCCAATGGTTCCACTTGATCTTAAAACTCTTTCCCAACCCAAACCACGATTCCCATTTCCTTTATGTAATGAGGTCCCAAACCCCCTGATGAATGCACCAGCCTTGGAGAGCCACCAAGAGGCTGATTTATCCTAATGAATGGAGGAAAATATCTCCAATCCCATTGCTCCCAGCAGCCCTACCTTCCCTCTTCATCCCCATGGCGAGGCACTTCTGGTAGCGGCAGTACTGGCAGCGGTTGCGCTGGCGCTTGTCGATCAGGCAGTCCTTGTTATCCCGGCAGGTGTAGATCAGATCCTTCCTGATGGTCCTCTTGAAGAAGCCTTTGCAGCCCTCACAGCTGTACACCCCATAGTGCTTCCCTGGGGAGGCAAGGGAATGGCTGGCCAGGCAGGTTTTTGCCTTTCCTTCCAGCGTGGAGGAGCTCAAAGCAAATCCAAAGGTGGAAAAACTGCAGGGTATCACCTTGAACTGGCTTCAAGTCTTAGCAGCAGCAGTCAAACCACAGGACCACTGTTTTTCCTGGGATAAGGAGGGGCTGCATGCCAGTGGAGTGATGTGGAGCATCTGAGGTGCACAACAGCCACAGGCAGCAAATGGGGTGCACTGATATGGAGAGGGCTTGCAGGGCTCACTGGGGTATGACAGAAAACCCAGGTACAGGCAGAGCCCAGCTGACTCAAAGCACAGGGAAATAGGAACAGAGATGGGGAAGGCTTGTAAGGCTCATGGGAAATGATAGAAAACCCAGGCACAGGCAGAGCCCAGCTGACTCAAAGCACAGGGAAATGGGAACACAGAGATTTTGGTAGATTTACCTTTGGCAAACAGGGACAGAAGGTAAAATGAGGTTACACACAAGAGGGAGAAGAGCACAGTGTTTAGGTTTGGTCACTTTTGGGCACAAATCTGCAACACAGCCAGCCAGACCCAGCCATGAGCTTGCCATGCCAGTGTGGCCCCAGCAGCCTCCACACTGCTCAGTGCTGCACAGTCTCAGAGCACCAGGAGAGTTCTCACTGCACAAAGCCTTCCCCAAGAGAGAAAGCCTCCTACCTGAGGACCTGTCCCCACAGATGGCACAGATGTGTTTGGCTAGGGATCCTGGACTCGTGGATGGATAATTCATGTTCCCCATCCCGGGGAGACCCGGCAAGGGCTTGACATCCTCCGAGCTGCTGACATTGTTCAGGACATTGAGCTGCAGAAGCCACGGGACAGGTTAGAGGGGAGAGACTCACATCTCAGTGAAACCATCCCCAAATAGAGCTGACCCTTCCCTTGCTGCTCCTGCCAGGCTTGTCCCCCAAGCCTACCCCCATGGGGCTGCCCTGGGCAGACAGACAGACATCCTCTGCTGAATCCAGCAGGAGAGGCTTAAGCAGGCACTAAAGCAGACACTGCCTGATGTTGTAACCAAAGCCAGGACTTAGCAGAGCTGGAAAAGGGCAGGCACTACCCTCAGCTGCTCAGTTACAGCCTCCAAGCCACGAGGCTGCTGGGATCCTGGCTGCTTCATTAGAGGATGCTGATTGTTGGCTGCTGGCAGACACAAACACTAACAGCTTAGTAAAGCAGAGCTCTGCAGACAGGTGATTTGTTACAATCAAACCTGCACTGTTGCATGGCTAGGGAAGCTGTAATGGTGTTTAAGAACAGAAAAAAATAAATAAAAATTAGTGGGTTAGCTTCCCTGACTCACAATATCTGCACATGCACAAGAACACACGGCCATTTGGTGCCTCTCTGGGACTTAGGTTCCCAAACACCATCACAGGTGGCAGATTTGGTGTTACCAGATTATTTTAAAAAAAGAAACAAAAAAAAAGGGGGGATCAGGCTGAGCATCGAAAAATCAGCAGCTGTGAGATGCAGGCAAAGGATGCAGAGCCCCCAGCTGAGATCCCCAGGAGCTGCTCCTGGCTGCTGAAGTTAAAGGTTACAAACCCACATTGATTAGAGACCAAAGCCTGACGTTGCCCAGGGCTTCCTTTTATTGCTGTTTGCTTTAGAGCCACGTCAGGCAGGGCAGGGAAGGGTAAGGGCCATTGAGCACGTCTTGTCAAAAGCTGTCTGGGCAGAACAATGTCTCTCCAAGCCCACCATCCACCACCAAATCACCTTCCCCACTGCTGCGGGCTGAGGGCTGGGGATGGTTGTTCCATCCCTGGGTTTGTTTGGAACAGTTGTGCCAATTTATCAGCTCAAAGAAGGCAGAAGCAAAGATAGAAAACAAGAATTTGGATGAAGACCCAGCTCGAGCCTTCATTCCAATCTCTGTAACATTTAAAACAGTGGATTCCATGCATGTTGCTGAAATTTCTCCATTTTCCCCAAGAAACTGTACATTTCCAAAAAAAAAAAGTGGTAATTTCCACAGAAAATTTTGGTAAAGAACAAAGGTTCATCCCGTTGGAATTTTTTGATGTGTCATTAGAAAAATAAAAAAGATGAAGCCTGTTCTCATCTTCCCTCACTGCTATCCCTTCATTTTCAAGCTTCAAATGTTTTAATAACACAGAAAATAAAAATTATCCAGCAAAAATCAGGAGCCAAGTAGTTTTGCTCCAGTAGGACATATAAGTGTATTGGGAAAAATTTCCCAGAGGAACAGAGGTTTGATCTCCCCAGCAGAGACTCAAACCAGGCACTGGCAACTGTAAATCCTTATGCTTCAAGATCCAGGCCAAGGAAAGGAGAAATAAACCCCTTCCTCCCCACAAGTGTCCATCATCTTGGCAAAATGCTGAGCCAGGAGGAACTTTTTATGGTTTAAAATGTTACTCAGAACTCAGGTACCACCTTTTCCTCCTCTCTGCCTGCACTTTGAAAGAATAAAAGGGAGAGAGGGTACAGGGGAGGGGGACACACAGGGCAGTTTTATCCATCAGTGTCCTTAGAGCTTGACTCTTGCAGGTGAAGTGCAATCATGGATGATATCTGGGACAACTGCTTGAACCCAAATCCATTAGCTGCCTCCCTGCTGAATCCCCAGGGCCCAGCTGTCTCCTTGCATTAGAGGCAACACAAATGGAACCTTCTCCTCGGATCTGGGAACTTGGCACAGCGCCCAGGCTGGGGAAACCACTTCCCAGAGCATCCCCAGTCCCAAAGGAAAGGCTTCCAACCAGCCAGTGCTGCCACAATTTCCTGTCCAGCCCTCCTGTCCTCGATGTCAGGGGCACAAATACCGTCAGATCCACGGGGAACAGCTGGGTGCTGCAAGGGGATGAGGGATCCTCCAGCATTCTCACTGCTGACAGCTGGGGCCCATAACAGGAGTTGAGGATGCTGGGGCAAGGTAAGCCAAACATCATCCTCTTTCAGAGCTTTTCAGGGGCCTCCTCATACTATTTTTTCCCAGCCTTCCAGGCACTAAGAAGAGCTTCAGGCATTCCAAGGAGTAGCAGCAGGGTAAGGGCTTGGGGACCATCTCCTTGCTTTTTCCTCAGCAGGAGCCACAAGGCTTCTGAGCACTTCCCACCTTCAGGTCCCACTAACAAAACTCAAAATCTTGCTCCTAAGAGGCAGAATTTTCACTTAGATCGGGACACCCAGAACATTTCAGCTCTCTGTCGAGATGCCACAGTGCCACCAGAAATGCAGGAGGCAGTTCCAGGCTTTTGGAGCAGCATGGATTTACAAGCCACAAGAGTTTGAGTAGAATGATGGTTAATTTGTCACAGGGTGAAAAAGTAGAATTTTGGGGATTTAGAATGGGGGTTCAAGAGGCAAGATGGAGGAATCTGGGCATGTCCTGTCCTTCTTCTTCTTGTCTTCCATCTTCTGCTGTGATGGTGACACTTTTTGATTGGTTTAGAGTAGAGACAGAGTGTCTAACATAGGTGATAGGTATTGGAAAATTATAAAAAAAGGACACATATTTCTCAGTATAAAAAGTTAACACCACCCCAAGGGCGGGCACTGTGCCACAACCCGACCTGCTGGACAAAGCTCAGCAGGTCAGAGAAAGAATGGAACAGACCAGTGAACATAAACTACCTAGAGAAGCAGAACCAAGGAATTTCAACTTCTTCAGTGGTGGGGCCTGGGAAAAAAGGACTTTCTAATACCTTGGAGATCATCTCAGCCACAGAAATCTGAGAATCCTGTAGGGTATTTTAAAACTGGTGTGCTCTGCATGTCTGTGCAAGGCTGATTAATGCAGATTCACAAGCTAGAAAATATTCTTTCCAGCTGAGCTCTGAGTGGCCGCACTCCCCCACCAGCCAACCCTCTCCCTCAACTTTTGGGACTTCACCCATCCTGCACACAAAGAAATCATCCCATCCCCACCTGTGGGCTGGCGTGTGCCACGAAATTGACGCCGGGGGCGGAGGACAGAGCGACGGGGTGCGAGCCCAGCGAGGAGGCGATGACCCTGTAGGGCGAGCCCAGGGCGCTCATGGGCGCCGGCAGCGCCCGCGCCGCGCTCCCAGGGGGCTCCAGGAAGCTGGGGGGCCCCTCCACCACCGGGCTCCCCGAGGACAGCCCCGAGGACAGGCTCACCGACGGGGAGCTGGCGTGCACCGGGGAATCTGCAGGGAGAAACGGAGAGACGGAGTGTGATGGAGAACCTTGGTGGTTGTCGCCGTCGTGTTTCCTGGGAAAATCCCTTCGCCGGGATTTCTTCTCCTGGGAAGCTGAGGAGCCTCGGAGAAAAAGGAAAACAATAATTATCTGGTTTGCTTCTCCTGTGTTTTGCTGCTTTGGAATGTGCTTGGAGATTGTTTATCCAACAACATTGGTTTCACGTGAATTGTTTTGACGTAATGACCAATCACAGTCCAGCTGTGTCAGGACTCTGGAAGAGGTCACGAGTTTTTCTTTATTATCTTCTAGCCTTCTGGAAGTATTCTTTCTCTATCCTTTAGTATAGCATTCTTTACTATAATAGAGATCATCAAATAATAAATTAGCCTTAACATGGAGTCAGATTCATCATTTCCTTCCTGCCACGGGGGACCCCGAAAATACCACAGGTTGTGTCAGCTTAAAATGCCAGCCCAGCCTCAAAACCAAGCAGCAAACCACGCTGTAAAGAGAGAAGAACAAAATGTTGGTTACAATACAGGAAAATGAGTTATATACTGTTGGAACGCTGGTTACTGAGAATTTGAGACTTTCTGTGCTGACCCCCCAAGAGAACACTGCATTTAACCTGAATCCATAGAGAAGACTTCCAAAATTAAATGATAAAACTAAGATTTATGAGTGTGTAGTTTGAATAGAAGTGTGTAATATCACATAGTAGAAAACTTAGAGTTCAAAGTTTTAGAATATAGAATATATATATAAATTTTTTATATATATATTTTATATGGAATATATAAAACAAGAAAGAAGTTTTAGAGCAAAAACTAGTCCTTCTCCTTCATGAATTTGAGCAGTATTGTATAATATATATATAATATAAATATATAATATATAATATATAATATATAATATATAATATATAATATATATATATAATATATAACATAACATATAATATATAACATATAATGTATTATTATTTTTATACATAGTATATATATTAAATAAAAAGTCCGCATTGTGAGTCACGGGTAATGAAGTTATTGAGTTAAAAGTAAAAATAATTTAAGCGTCTTTTCTTAATTAGACAGTTTATTCTTAAAAGGCCTTGTAGAGAAAGAAATACAACCCCATTTTTAGCTTGTTAGAGTGAAGTGCTGTAAAACTCACAGTTTGTGAGATTGCAGTATAAAAAGAACTAATAAACATCTAAATCCAAACAAGAAATACCATCTCACACATTTAATCCCAGCCTTGGCAGAAGAAAGAAATGAAAGAATCCACAATATACAGCAACAAACGTTATTTGGAGATAATGCTTAATAACAAAATATTCCTTTTCCACTTTGGTGCCTCAGCAGACTTGGAGGAAGGCACCACTGCCTGCCTGCCTCAGGCTGATTTTCAGTTTGCTCTGAACTCTTCCTTGAGGTCCCATTTCTTTTGTCCAAGCCAGCTCTAGGGACAGCACATTTCTGAAACCCTGACATCCTCACCAGCCAGCCTGGAAACTCTGAATGCTCCACAAGTCTTATGATGAAGCACCTCTGCTCCCTGAGGTGCCTCTGGCCTTGTGCTCCCACGGCTCAGTTTTCCCCCTCCCCACTCACTGTGTGTCCACTGTGCCTTTTCCCATGTTCGCTCCCAAAGCTGGGTGCCAGCACCTTCCACAGCAGCTGGAGCAACCCAGGAATGGCTCATGACATGCTTGCAATGCAAGTTTCAGGACAAGGCAGCCCCAAAACCACTTGTCCTTTATTTCTCCTCATTTGTACAAATCAGAGCAGAGACTTTGGCCACGCAGATGTGCCAGGGCACTCTCACAGCTACAAGGACAGGGGTTTTCCTCCCTCCACACTAAACAGAGTTGCAGTGCACATCACCAAGCTGAGCCACACGAGATCAGTCTGCCCCTGAACCCTGCTGAGGAAGAGGTGGTGTAAAAAACAACATAACCCTAATCACCGCCACTTCAGGGCACACTCTGAGGCTGAACTGCTCAGCCAAGGCCTAAATACTGTCTTCTGTAGGACCAGTCTCAAATATTCAGGCATCAAATGCCCACTAGTCCCAATGGGTCATGCATTTAAGTTCATATTAAGGATTTCCATGACCTTTTCTCCCTCCCTTAGAATTTACCAGCCCTAGTTAGCATTAGCTGTCATTAACATTTCTGTGAACCATTATTTCTCCACTGGTTTTCCAACACAGGAGATGATTCCCTGGAGTAGCAAGGCAAAGATGTTGTGTGGGAAGGTCACACAGCTGCTTTTTCACGGCTGGCACAGAGGATACATTCTCCCGTTGCATTTGCAAGTAAGGCAGCGCTTGGGTGCTTTGTTTGTTTGTGGTTTTTTCCCTCCTTTTAACATTACTGCAAAGTTATTTACGTGACAGTGTTTGTTATTCTACCCGAAGTAACAATCAAATCTGATTCAAAGGGAAGACGCACAATAAAGACGGGAAAAGGTCAGCTTGCTGAATAACATTAAAGACATTTGTCAGAGTCAAGGAGGACTCCATCCGCCGTTATCAACCCGCTTCAGACTTAATTCTGCTGAGGGAGGGGGAGAAAAGGTCTTTGTCAATTCTTGCTTTGGCTTTTTGGATCAATTCTCCCGGTGGGAAAGCGATGTGCAGCAGGAGGAAGCCGGCTCAATGACAACAGCAGAAGGCTCAGAGGCAGCGAGGCGCTCTGGAGGCAGGAGCAGGGCTCTGCCTGCTGCCACAGAGTCACCCCACATCCCCCTGCCACCACCAGGGAGACACACAGCCTGCTTTCTGCTAGCAGACAGCAAAATCCCTGCCTTGGAATGGATCCCAAGTGCTCCAGTCCTTCATCCCAGGGACAGAGCGCCTTTAGCACTGTGCTGTTTGTCTGGAGCCTCCCTTACCTCAGCTCACACAGGCACCTCAGATGTTTCTTGGGGCTTAAAAGGACCATCCTGGCCATTATCAGCTTCAGAGAAAAGCAAATGCATTTTTCATCACCTGTGGTACCACAACACGCAGTCCTCCCCAGCATCTGCAGCACAGACCTAGAAAGAATTTGCTTTTACGCCTCTTTAAATAACTAGGTAAACAACATTGCCTCTGAGGATTCCTCAGCTTGGAAAATAAGTCATTGCAGGGGATACTGGGCAGAGATCTATCACACCAGGAGAGCTGAGCAGCAGAATGATTCTTCATCCTTTTCCATTAACACAGAAAAGGGCATATTTTGAAAGTATCATGCAGAAGATTTAAACCAATAAGGAAAGACACCCAGGAGAGTTAACTGTTTGCTTTTATGCCAGACCTTTCAGGAGTGCTGCCACTGCTGAGATTCTCCATTAGAGAGGCTCCAGGTTGCACAAGGACCCAGAGCAAGGCTTTCACACCAGGAGGCTTCTGGTCAGTGCAAGCCCCATGGTGACAAGGGGCAAATTTTTCAGAGCTGTGCCCAGGGGGATCCCCTAGACCCCAGGATGGGATCAAAGCTCTAAGCCAGGAAACCTGGAGGGTTCTACCTCTGTTACGCCAAAAATGAGATACCAAAGAGGACCTGTGAATGCACAAAGGAGTGTTTGCTGGTGGAGATGGATGGATAAATGAAAATACCCACTGGAGAGCACAGACGTGTAAAGCCAGGCTTTGCCAGGGCCTGATGACACAAACCAGAGTTGACATGCTTGTTCCTACAGTGCCTGGCTACATTGTCCTGCCAAGGCTCTGACAAACGCCTTGGTCAAATCCAGCAGTGTTACATTTCCATTTACAAAACAACAACTTTTTCCATCTGTTACAAATTGGAATAAAGCCCCCATCTAGAAAAACACAACAATGATGACAAAAAGCCCACAAACAACAAAAAACTTTGACTTCTAGTCCCTTTCTGGAATAAGTCTGCTAAGCAATCCACCACAGGAGCAGAAATGCATTCTCCTGCACCTGGGGAAAATCCTCCTCTCAGCTTCTCATTTTCAGGCTAGAGTGCTCAGAGAGGGTTATAAGAAATGAGTGTTAGCAGACTATCAGCTTGTGAGAGGAGCAATTTTCATGGCTGAAAGGTGTGCAGGAAGAGCCAAGCCAAAGCATCCTTGACCCTGGGGTTAATTATTTGCTCCGCTGAATACACTCAAACTTGTTTCAGTTCAAAGAAGCCAGGGAGGTTTGGACTGTGCAAACACCCAAGTTTTGAAAGAAAATAATTAAATTAAATGACTTGCAAGAAAATACTGATGGTCTGTGTCCCACATCTCCCAGCAGAACCCAGAAAGGTCTTGGGTTCACTGGGATGGAATGGCTTTACTGCAGGTATTTTCTCTCATCATCTGGGAGATGGACAAATGGCAGTGGAACAGGGCTGTGTGTTGGGGAAGATGAAACAGGAAAGCCTTATAAATATGATTGCCTGGCAAAAGATTTGGAGAATATAGAAACTGTAAGTGAGATTGAAATGAAAGCAAGCTTTGGGATACTTTAGTTACTGAACAACTGGAAAACAATGGTGTGGCCAGCTAAAGGTGATCCCCTTTTGATGGAACGACACCCTCTGCTTGCAGACAGCTCCAAGGGTCAGAGCAGACCCTGCAGCTTGGCAGAAGGGGCCCAAAGAGGAGTTTTTAGGGTTTAAAATGTAACACAGTATGGTAATGTAATGATTCTTATAGGCTGTATGGAAATGCTGTAGGATTTGTATCTTGTACTGGATTGGTTAGTGACAATTGGAATACTCAGCACAGAAGAAGATTTATTGTATTGTAATGGGAACTTCACTCTCTCTTACTCTTTTGCTCTGTCTCATCCTCTTTACCACGCTCTTGCCTTCTCTCTCTTTACCTCTGTCTTTACTTCTCTCAGGCCTGCTCTGAGCTGTGGCTGCAGCTCCCAGCAGGGCCCTGCCCCCAGGCCCTTTGCAATAAACCACAAGTTCCAAGCCCTGGCTGCAGAGATCTCTGCTCTCCATCCATCCCGACCATCCTAGCCCTGTCAGTCCTACAGCTGGGGAGGAGCTGCAGTG